AACAAATTATAAATTGTGTTTACCCTTCACTAAGTAATAACCTTTATATGTATGTATACATGTATACTATTTGAAATCGTCGCATCTTTTTCTATATTTTCAAAAAAAAAAAAAAACAACAACAACAACAACAAATATCATTTGAAAGTTGCTTATCAACAACTCTCTTAAAAAATTATATTTTTGCGTTAAATAAGCGCTATGTAAGGTTGGTATAAGAGTTAACATAAACAAAAAAAAACGCCTATTTCAAATTACGCTGCATCGTAGCACTAAATTTGACGTTAATCGAAAATTTTCTTTCGGTTCAATTGACACATTTAGGAATGTTATCGTTGAAACAGTCATCGAAATAAATTTTATTTCGTGTTTAACTCAAACGAAGAAATCTCCTTGATGTTAAATAGTTAACAGATAATGTTAAATGACAAACAGCAAGCAGCCATTTTAAAATTAACATTAACGATGAGTTTAATCGGTTTCAACATCACCAAGAAACAAAATAATTTCGGTGAGTTTATTTTTCATATTAACAACACGAAATGGCGTCGTTTTGTTAGTTGAGCAGCACTGGTTTGTATTTAATTAAGTAGTAAAAATTTTCATTTTCAACAACCAAATATTTGTATTAACATGCCTTTTTTGATTTCTTACAATTTTATTTATATTTTATTTTATTTAAATATGTATTACAGGTATTTTATTTTGTTGTTTTTTTATATTATTTTACCTTATATTTTATTTTAGCTCTTTTTATCTTACTTCACATTAATTATTTCATGTTCTTTCCTACTTTGATCTTTTTATTTCAATACTAATCAATTTCATTTTATTAAATTATTTATGTTTTTTATTCAATATTTATAAAGAGACTCCTCTATTTTTTCTTTCAACTTTTTTAAAATTTGATTTCATTTTAATTAAACTTTATTTCTTACTTTTACAATATTAAATTTTTATTATTATTTATACAGTTTATATCCTTTAATTTTTATATTATTTTATTTATTTTTATATGTTTCATTTTAGTTTTTTTATTATTTTTATTTATTATTTGTTGTATTTATTTAATGTTCTTCGTTGTATTATTATTTTAATATAAACAAATTTCTTTTTTTTATGTCATGTGTTTCATTGTTGCCTACTTTCTTTTATCTTTGCATAATTTAATTATTTTAGTTCATATATTATTTTTTTAATTTAATCTTATATTTGATTTTATATAGTTTTTTAAGTTTTTTTTCTTTTTTTTATTTTACTTTATATCATTTTTCTTTACTTTATTTATTTTAGCTTAGTTTTTTTAATTTTGATTTTGTTTACTTTTTTTTATTTAAATTTACGCGTATATATTTCTTTATTTTTATATTTAAATGGTTTTATTTCATTATTTTATTGTATTAATTATTATTTTAATTAATATTGTTGTATTAATATTATTTAACTTGTTTTACTTTATTCTATTTTAATTTATTTTATTTAATTTTTTTTTATTAATTTTTGTTTAGCTATTTAATCGTTATATTATCATTTTTATATAACACCAATGCATTTTATTTTTTTTTTTTTACTTCACATTTTGTGTTATTTCATTGTAGCTTTCTTTCTTTTATTTTTGTGTATTTATATTATTTTAATTCACATCTTTTTTTTAATTTAATTTATACTGCTTTATTTTAATTTTATTTTTAAACTTCTATTTGATTTTAAATATATTTTTTTAAGTTTATCTTTTCTTTTATTTTTTTTTTTATTTTACTTTATATCATTTTTCTTTACTTTATTTTATTTTAGCTTAGTTTTTTTAATTTTGATTTTGTTTACTTTTTTTATTTAAATTTTACGCGTATATATTTCTTTATGTTTATATTTAAATGGTTTTATTTCATTTTTTTATTGTATTAATTATTATGTTAATTAATATTGTTGTATTAATATTATTTAACTTGTTTTACTTTATTCTAGTTTAATTTATGTTATATTAATTTATTTTATTTTATTACTTTTATTTATTTTTATTTAGTTATTTTGTTTTCCTCGTTATATTGTATTATCATTTTAATATTTTTTTTTAATTTTTATTTTTATTTTTTTTACTATAAGTTTTGTGTTATTTCATTGTAGCTTTCTTTCTTTTATTTTAGTGTATTTATACTAATTTAATTCACATCTTTTTTTTAATTTAATTTATACTGGTTTATTTTAATTTTATTTTTTTTATCTTATATTTGATTTTATTTATTTTTTTAAGTTTATCTTTTCCTTTATTTTTTCATTTTACTTTATATCATTTTACTTCATTTTATTTAATTTTAGTTTAGTTTCTTTTATTTTACTTTTTTATATAATTTTTTAATTTTTTTTAATCGTATATTCCTTTCTTTTTTATATTTACTTGAGTTTATTTCACTTTTTGTTTTATTAATATTATTTTAACTACTTTTTTTAACTTAACTTGTTTTATTTTATTTTATTTTAATTTGTTTAATTAATTTATTTTTATTTAGTTATTTAATTTTCCGTTATATATTTAATATAGCTTCATTGCATTTTATTATCAAGTTAATATAATATAATTATATAAATTTAATATAATTATATTATTTTGTTTTTTCTTTACGTTTCGTATTATTTCATTGTAGTTTGCATTCTTTTATTCCTGAATATTTGTATTATTTTAGTATATATCTTATCTTATCTTACTAAAATGAAAAATATTAGTTTACACTTGTTTATTGTTTTATTATTCGGTCTTATATTTGAGTTTATACATTTTTTTAAGTTTATATTTTATATTATGTTATTTTATTTGAGCTTAGTTTCTTTTATTTCGCTTTTTTAAATAATTTTTATTTCTTTTATTTATTTTCATTTTTTTTATTTTAAGCGTATATTCCTTTCTTTTTTATCTTTAAATTTTTTTATATCATTTTTTATTTTATTTGCTTAAAGTTTTTTTTATTTTATTACATTTTTATTTCACTATTATTAATTAATTTAATTTATTTTTATTTTTCTAGCTAATTTTTTTCATAATGCTTTATTTATTGTTTATTTCATTTTATTATATTGTTTCATTATGTCGAATTTTATTTTAATATATGATATTTTAGTCCTATATTTTATTTTATTTTCTATTTATTTAATTAAAATGTTTTAATAATTAAGTAATATTGTTTCTTTTTATTGCATCAAAATTATTTTCTTTAATTTTTTTTTTAATTTAACTTGTTTTACTTTATACCATCTGAAACAATTTCTCTCAAGTTAAATTTTTTACTTTACTTTTTTATTTGTTTTTATTTTGCATAATATTACACAATACAATTTTTTATTTTTTTTCATATTTATTTTATTTTATACTAATTAAAATACTTTTATTTCTTTTTTATCTTTTTTTTATATTGTTTTATTTATATATTTCTTATTTTATTTTAAGTTAATTTATTACATTTCATTTCAGTAATTTTATAAGTTTTTGCTTTATATTATTTAATTTTGTTATATATTACTTTATTTCATTTAATATTTTTACTAATTTTTTTAATCTATTTTCTTATATTTTTTTAATTTATTTCATTTAATTTAAAACTATTTCAATTTCATTTATTTTATTTCATTTTGATTTTTGTTTATATTTATACATTTTATATATTATTTAATTTTACTTAATTTTATTTTCTTTCCTTTGTTTTGCTATATTTCACTTATTTCATTTATCATATTAATTTATTTTACTTAAGATTATTTTATTTTAATTTGTTTCAATTGTTTTTGTTTAATTTAATTTTATTTTATTTGATATTACTTTAGTTATTTTTTACTTAATTTTTTCATATATATATTTTTTGTATATTATTTTATTTTATTTATTTTGCCTTATTTCACTTTATTTGATTTTATTTTATTTCATTCAAGATTATATAATATCATTTTTGTTTTATTTTACATGATTTTTTATTTCAATTTAATTTTTTTTAATTTAAACTTATTACATATTATTTAATATTACTTAATTTTATTTTCTTTCATTTTATTTTATTTAACTATATATTATATATTAAATTAATTAATATAATTATTTTAATTAACATAATTAAATTTTATTTAGTATTATTTTAGTTATGTTTTACTTAATTTTTTAATTATTATTTAATATTTTTACATATTTTTATTTTATATATATTAATTTTATTTTACTTAAGCTTAGTTTATTTCAATTTAATTTGTTTTGTTTCGATTTGTTATGTTTTAATGTATTTTATTTTATTTAAATTACTTAATTTTATTTTCTTTAATATTATATATTATATTATTCTTTAATATTGCTATATTTCACTTATTTCATTTTATTTCCTTTAACTATATATTATATTAATTTATTTTACTTAAGATTATTTTATTTTATTTTAATTAATTTAATTTTATTTGAATTAATTTTTTCATAATTTTTTAATATATTTACATATTTTTGTTTTATATATATAAATTTAAATATATAATATTTTTTATCCTTAATTTGATTTGTTATATTTGAACAGATTATATTTTATTTAAATTACTTAATTTTATTTTATTTTTCTTATTTTGCTTTATTTCACTTTATTTGATTTTATTTTATACTTCTCAAGATTGTTTTATTTTATTTTATGATATTTTATTTAATATTATTTTAGTTTTATCTTAATTAATATTTCCATTTTTACATTTTTAAGTATTATTCATTATTTCAAAAACATACAAAATCCTAATTCAACGGTTTATAAAAATTTCTGAATCAGACTTAATCGTTTATGGCTTATAAATACAGCTAGAGCGCGCATCTCCGCTACCATTGATTGTATTCGCTACTAGTAAGCGTCTGAGCGGGAATTTTTATATTTTTACAAATTGATATATGCATATAACGACATATGTATACATATCTATACATACATGGTAGGCTTGTACATATACACCTTTGGTGATAGCCGGTTGTATAGACACTACATTCAAGTTACGCTCGATTTTCCAGTTTTTGAATTGAAGATTCTACTTATTTGCAATCAGTAAGATTTTGTCTCTTGTCGCGTTTGTAACGTAATATTTTTTAGGTAAATTAAATAAATCATATTTACTGGTAAAACGAAATTTTCTTAGTATTCTTGTTATTGTAATATTATTTGCACTTAAATTTTGCTTACTTTATAGTTTGTATACACGTATGTATGTATGTATTGTACTAAATACTTGTTATATTTGTGTTTATCATCGGAGTACAAAAAGTGTGAAAAAAGGTGTTTGAGAATAGCTCTTAAAATAGAAGTGTGTATGAAAAAGTAATTAAAAAATTGTGTAAATTATAAGAAACGTTTAAGTGATTAAGTCAAGCTAGAAATTTCCTATAAATATTTGAAGAGACAGTATTTTTTTTGGATCTTTTCTGAGTTGTTCTGGTGTTATGCTTTGCTTATGCACAGGGCTTACAACTAACGGTCATATGTAGCAATGTAAAATAAAGCAGTTAAGTCATATATCAGACTGGAAGTCTGTGTCTGAGGACATGATCGAGCCAGGGTAACCACTTACTCTTAATTCGTATATGTCGCCATATATCATAAACCTGCGGTATTCGACCCTGCCAATTTTCAAAAATTCATAATTTGTATGTAAAACCTTTCGAAAAATCTTAAAGATGAGCGGCTTGTTCATGAAGAGACGACTCAGTTAAAGTGGCGAATTCGTCTACGATTCCAAAATTGTAAAGACTTTCAATAGTGACGTGGAAGCAAAGACTCGAATTTGCTGACTGTTTGCTTCTTGAGAGGAGATATTTCGTCCTGTCCGCGTTCACTGCCAAAAACAATTGCCTCGCATTCTGATGCAGTATACAGGAAATAGAAAGGACTACGTGGTTGCTGAATCCATTACCATCCCTGTAAGTGGGGTTTTTACATCAATATTGCTAGTGGGACAGCTGCACAACCGAACAGCTCTATGCAAGAGAAGATTGGACACGTCATACTCAATAAGAGATTTCATCTTTTCCACTTCAGGCTCTTACTCGAAAACTTGGGCGATACGAGCGACGAAAAAGGAGTGTGGTTACACCAAGATCTAGCAAACCTCGAAAGACGATATCGGGGATTCAAGATGCCAAACAATAGAAAATAGGTTCCACATATCTTCATTTCTGATTTGTGACTTTTACTTTAATAAAATCTGGCGGTTTTAGAGAACGGCGAATTCCCTCAAACGTTGTGTGTTGATTGAACTTGGTCGCTTCAAGAAATATAACATCCAGGAAAAATTCTGCATATTACAAAGTCTCTAAAACACTTGGGCCTCATCTTGTGTGAAAAACTAAGCTGATCCCAAAACTCAGAGGAACGGATGCGGAAAGCATCTATATGGTTTTTTGTGTGTTACTGGAGCACTGCAGACTACACCTACTGAGGTTATGAATATCCTCTTGGATTTAATTCCAATAGACATAATGGGAACAGAAAATGCTGCTTGTGCTGCAGACTGCAGAAAGTGTCTGAATGGAGGTTGATAAATACAGATCACATCAACATATTAATAAGATTTCGTCTACCAGATAGGACGAACTACTGCCTGACTTTCACTGACTTCAGGGAAGATTACATAGTAGCTATTCCAGATAGAAACCAATGGAACAGCGGTGTTTCAACATATGTAGACTCGATCCACTTAAGCACGGTTGGTTCAAAAGTGGTCATTAGGGTAGTTAGTGAGTATATATAAAGGAACTTGAAATTTGCAAACTCTTCTGACTACCAGTCCCACTTAGGAGGTTGTCAACTGTAAAGCAGTTCACTTTGAACATATAATGGGTTCCGGGACTTTGAGTAGCATACTATTGTATGACAATAGTTTTTTTTTTTTATGTAAAATGCGAAAAATGCTAAACAAACTCTCATAATGAATAACTCAAAACCTTGTTGACTTAATATTGGAGAAATTAATGCTAATTAATATGTATAACGTGCAACGTGCGAAATGGCGGACGAGTTTGCGAAGAAATGTACTTCCCTTCCACTTTGCAACTTAATCCATAAAGATAGGCCTTCCAGCGATGCATCTTCTTTTAGGAAGGCATGCAGATAGATTGAGCATGCCAAAAAGTGCTGGGTTGTAGGTACAAGAAACAACCTGAAAACTTAAGTCACTTCCTGTGTGAATACCACGCATTTTGGAGGAGTAGGTTGCAGTAATAGGGTGGGGACTAAATCGTATCGTCATTTGGGACAAATCTTTAAAGGGGGAGACTTTTTTGCAACAATATGTATATATAAATATATGTTCCCCATGTAGAAACAGGCCATATGCAAAATGTATGTATATGTAACCATATAATTTTTATTCTAAAATTAAATGCACTTTTTCAATTCTCAGAACACAATGATTATTCTTATCATTAATTTGTAAATAAAGTTTATAGAATATATTTACATTTCTTCACCTAATCTACGGTTAACTATTTTTAATGATTTTCGTTGAATTAAAGTATAACCGCGCTTACATATGGATGACATTTTATACAACTGCCGTTATAACCTCAAAAGTTATCGCAAACTGCATTTTAGTTTTTCTTTTTGTAATTAATAGCATTTTTTGTTTACCTTTTTTTATAATATTTGACGAGATAGTAAATAACGAACAACTCGTATATAATATATAGACATAAATATATATATTTATATGTAACAATGTAGCATTTTCGATCTCATAGCATCTCTAATGACAGCCACAGTTCATGGAGAGCGAATATTTCTGTTAACCGAAATATTGTCAGATCATAAAGTATATGCATATATATATATACATATATGTATGTATACACAAGTCGCTACTACATCTAGAGACAGGTTTCCCCCCAAATTATATAAACTTTATATGCAAAAGACTGTGCACGCTATACATATTAATTAGCATTAATTTCTCCAATATTAAGTCAACAAGGTTTTGAGTTATTCATTATGAGAGTTTGTTTAGCATTTTTCGCATTTTACATAAAAAAAACTATTGTCATACAAATATTTGAAAATGACATTAATAAGTTCAAGCTTTTACAGCATTTTCAGTAGCACTTAATGGTTAGACACATGCTCTTTTATTTGTTATTTGTACTTTATTTAAAATTTTTTAAAATATTTTTTAACATTTTTTGTTTTTACTATTTATTTTTTCTTTATTATTTCAGATATTTTTTATTATTTTTCTATTTTTTTTTTTAATTAAATATTTTTTATTTAAATTGTTAATGATTTAATTTTCTTATTATCATTTTTTTCATTACTTAGTTACTGTATTTTTTTTAATGTTTAGATATTTACCGTTTTTGGTTTTACTTTTTATTAATTAATTTATTTAATTAAATCTTAGATTTAAATATTTAATTTTTCTTCTTATTTTTTAATATTGACTTTGTTTATTGTTTAACTTATTTGATTTGATTATAATTTTTTCATTGTATTCTTTTTTTCATTATTAAAGACTTTATTCTAATTTTTTTATTATATCATATTTTTTATCTAATTCTTTTTTTGTTCAATAAAATGAATTAATAATATACGTATTAAATTTTTATTATTAATTTTGTGTTGCTTAATTTTTTTTTAGATTTTTTGATTGTTTAGTTTTTTTTAAATGTTTAATTCTTTTGTTATCTATATAATGCTTTAATTTTCTCATTATTATCTTTTTCATTACTTAGTTACTTTATTATTTTGATGTTTAAATATTTACCGTTATTTGTTTTACTTTATATCAATTAATTTTTTTAATTAAATCTTGTTATTTAATATTTTCATTTATTAAATTGTTCTATATATTTTTTTTAATGTTATTATTAATAATAAACAATATTTAACTTATTTGATTTGATTATAATTATTTTATTATTAAAAACTTTATTCTAATTTATTTTATTGCATCATATTTTTTATCTTATTCTTGTTTTATTCAATAAAATGAAATAATAATATACGTATTAAATTTTTATTATTAATTTTGTGTTGCTTAATTTTTTTTTTAGATTTTTTGATTGTTTAGTTTTTTTAAATGTTTAATTCTTTTGTTATCTATATAATGCTTTAATTTTCTTATAATCATCTTTTTCATTACTTGGTTACTTTATTTTGTTTATATTTAAATATTTACCGTTATTTGTTTTACTTTTTATTAATTAATTTTATTTCTTTTGTTATCTAATATTTTAAATATTTAATTTTTCTTCTTATTTTTTTAACATTGAGTTTGTTTATTATTTAACTTATTTGATTTGATTATAATTTTTTTCATTATTAAAGACTTTATTCTAATTTTATTTATTATATCATATTTTTTATCTAATTCTTTTTTTATGCAATAAAATGAAATAAAAATATTTCGTATTAAATTTTTATTGTTAACTTTTTATTACCTAATTTTTTTTTAACATTTGATTGTTAAATTTTTTTGTTATCTTATTTTGTGTTATTTAGTTTTATTTATTACTGGAATTCTTTATTATTTATTTATTTATTTATTTAGTTTTCTTTTGTTAATCGTTAAATTTTACTGTTACCTAACTTTTATGTTTTATTTTTATTTATTACTTAATAACTTTTTTATTTATTTTTATTCATTATTTGAATTGCTTTTTAATTTATTTATTTTATTATTACATTTTTTATTATTTAACTCATTTTTTATAATTTTTTGTATTAGTTATTACTTATTATTTATTTATTTCATTTTTTTTTTTTTAAAACTTTTATTACTTAAATTTTTTATTATTTAATTTATAAATCATTAATTTTTTTTTCATTTCATATTTTTATTAGTAATGTGTTTTTTTATTTAATTTTTTTATAAATTTCATTACCTCAAACTTTTTCCGCATTATTTTTATGACATGACTTTTTTATTTAAAATATTTCTTTACGCAATATTTTTTATTATTTAATTTTTTTTAATTTTAAATGTTTTATTTTTTAATATTTCTTATTTCATTTTTTTTAAGGTTTTATAAGTAATTTTTTTATTAGATACTTTTAAGTTTTTAATTTTTTTGATTATTTAGTTTTCTCAAAATATCCTATTTGATTGCATATGCTTTATTATTTAAATTTTTTGCCACTTAAATTTTTTATTCATTCATTCTTTTACTTCATTATGTAATAAAAAAATAATTACAATATTTAATTAAAAAAAAAATAAAAAATGTGAATGACTTCCATTATTTAATTATTTATTTTTTAATTAAATATTGTAATTATTTTTTTATTACATAAGTTTTTATTAATATTATATATTTCTTCTTTAAATATTGTTTATTATTTTCATTTTTTTTTTTATTTAATTTTTTTTATTATTTCATCGTTTATTTACGATTTTGCATTCATTTTTTTATTATATAATTTTATTATATAATTATATATTTTTATTATTCCATATTTTATTAAAAATTTTTTTATTATTTCATTACTTTACTTTAAAAAACTTTCATTATTTTCAAATATATATATTTTTTTAATATTTAATTTGTAATTATTTTTTTTTTACATACTTATTAATTTTTTTTTTAAATATTTCTTTATAAAATATTATTATTTCCTTTTTTACTATTATTTTTTTGTTATTTCATTCTTTTACTTTAAAGACTTTCACTATTTACATTTTTTTTGTGTTTTATTTTTAGTTAAATATGGTAATTATTTTTTATAACATAATTTTTTGTTTAATATTTAGTTTTTTAATATTAAATTTTTTATTATTTAATATCTTTATTATTTCATTGTTGATTTCCGGTTTTCATTCCTTTTTAATTAGATTTTTTTATCCTTTTTTTATTATATAGTTTTCACATAATTTCACATTTTCTTATATATTTATTTTTATTGCCTTTTTCTCTATTTAATATTTTTTATTATTCCATATTTTAATATTTTTTTTATTATTTCATTACTTTACTTTAAAAGACTATCATTATTTTCTTATATATTATTTTAATATTTAATTTGTAATTATTTATTTATTACATATATATTAAGTTTTATTAAATGTTGGTTGTCAAATATCTCCCTTCCGCTTTTTTGTCTTTTGAATTTCGCGGATATGTACAAAGCGCTACAAAGCTCGTATCTGGCAACATAATTTGAAAGGTCTTGACATAACCTACAAAACAACGCTATGCATGATAAGTTTGGATATTGCGTTCAACAGTTATAGACGTGTAAACATGGAGTTCACTAACGCCGAAATTCGCGCTATTTTAAAGTTTTCCTTCGTTAAAGGCAAATCCGCTAGAGAAACGATCCGTGAGATTAATGGCGTTTTGGGGGATGGTAATCTATCACTTCGAATTTTTTTTTACTATATTTTTTATTATTTCCTTTTTTGCTATTTAATATTTTTGTTATTTCACATTTCATTATATATTTTTTTACTATTTCATTCTTTTACTTTAAAAATCTTTCAATATTTACATTTTTTTTAAATTTAATTTATAATTATTTTTTTATTAAATTTTATTAATTTTTATTAAATATTTTTTTATGAAATATTATTATTTCCTTTTTATTATTTAGTTTTCTCATAATTTTGAAATTTAATTTTTTTTGACTATATATTTCTTATTATTTCTTATTTACTATTTATTTTTTTTTTTGTTATTTTATATTTCATTATATATTTTTTTTTATTATTTCATCCTTTCAACATTTAAATTTTTTTTAATATTTAATTTGTAATTATTTTTTTCTTAGTCTTTTTTAATTAATATTTTTTTTCTTATTTAGTATTTTTTAATATTTAATTTCTTGTTATTCCATTATTTATTATTTTATTCTTTAATTTTTAATTTATTTATTGTTATATTCCACATTTTTTTCTTATATCAACTCATTATTAGTTATGTTTTATCCACATTATACCAATTTTTATCAATCTGCCGGCTATTTCTACCCCCTAATGAATCTATTATTCATATTTAAAGCGAATCAAACTTGGTTACAGGTCTCTGGTTAATTTTTAAAAAAGAAAAGCTCTCTATTTAGGCATATCATTCCAAAATTTAAATGAAATTGTACTAACCAAGCGTATTTTTTCATATAGATCCCTAAAAATTTCAAGCAAAAAGTACTATATATACGTTTTTTTCACGAAAGGCCACCTATGCACTTAATTTGAACAAAATGGTCGGTCGGTAAGTCGGTCCCTAGCCTAATTCCAGAAGGTTCTCCTGTTAATCGAAAAGTCGACTTGTCGGCGAGAAGGGTAGGTTAGTCCTTGGTCAACTTGTGGAAAATTTTTTTCGTATAAACCTTGCTGGGAGCCATAAAAAAATATGAAATTTTCAAATAAATGGGTCCGTAACTTTTGGAAATTAACGGATCTTTACAAACGAATATAAGTTTCCTTTATACTCGTATATATATATGTATATATATCTATATATGTGCATATATTACAAATATAAAGCACACATATATATTTTTTCATTTTTTAATAAAATTTTTTTATAATGTATTTTTTTCATTGATTTTTTTTTAATTTTTTTTTTTATTTTTTTTAATTTTTTTTTTATCATTTAATTTTTTTCTATATTACTTTTTTTGTTCTAAATAAAAACTCGTGTTATTGGCGTTAAAAATGTTTTATGGCAATATTTAGCTGTCACGGAATTCACATACATGTGGACATATGTGCGTATGTGTATGTGTATGCATGCATTTTGAAGAGATTAAAATATAAATGCATTACGTTCTATGTATGAGTATGTATGTATATATATTTGGTTTGAAAATATTATACTTTTTTCTAATATTTTTTACAAATATTCGCACAAACATATGTACATACGTATGATCCCGTGCACATATGTATGTTCATCATTATTTGATAACGGGTGAGAGTTCATTTTCATATTTATAAATGATAATGAAAATATTTGTTTTCAAATGATTAAAAGTGGATCATCGACTCTCTGTTATCTATTGGCTTGCACTCGATTTAGGTTTGATTATTATTTTTTTTTTGGTCAGCGACCTAAATTTTCATAATTAAGATGTAGACATAAAAGTAAATGTGTACATGTAAATATATTTGACATATGTGTATGTAGGAAGGTTCATGTTCGGACGAAATGTTCGTCTCGCCCGGTTGACAGACCCAACTTTTGATGAATGGTCTGCAGCCGAGTTTGTTGCAATTCTCGTAATACTAAAGGCTAACAACACTGCCATCCGAGAAGCGCGATGGACGGCACAAGTACGCAGAATAATAGTAGCAACGATACATCAATCCCAGCGGCCATATAAAGCAGCACGAATTTCAATGACTATCTTGTAACAACAAAGATATACACCCGCTTTTATGCAGCAAATAACGCCTGTCAACAAACACAAAGGAAGCTCGATTCCGAAAAGCTGCAACCACCAAAGACACTCCAACGTTTCTTTTCCCAAATTGCACTTCTGCTTTCTGAGAGCACTTAAAAGGGAACTGTTAGACGGCATTTCAATGCCCTTATCCGCAACTGCAAGTGAAACTATTGGTTCTTAGAAAGATCAAAAGCACAGCTGCTACGATGAGGATTGTCGCGAAGCAATTCGAGAGAAAATCGGCTGTCAAAGTTGTGATCTACCGACTGATGAACCTTAGTATATTGAATTTACGGAGGGGAAACTTCTCCAGCCTACTTAATAGCAGTGAAAATTTACCATCAGGAAATTGTAAACCCGATATCGCAATCGAAGACGATGGATTAGATGTTTCTTTGACCCACTATGACGAACTATCAATTGCCCACTTGAAAAACAATAAAGCGGCGTGGCCGATGGATTGCCGGCCTACCTATACCGATACGGCGGAATCGAAAAGTAGAATCCATTATCTTCATTACAGATTGTCAAAATTAAAATCCAATGCATAGTCACTCTTGCCAACTCCTGCTACTCTGAGCTAAATCGCTCATCATTCCCGTCCTGTTACCGGGTGCAGAGTCATTGACGATGACCACATCTGATGAGTTAAGAGTTTTCGAGAGAAAAGTTTTACGTTAGATTAATGTGACTTTGTTCGAGTACCGTAGTCGATGGAACGTTGAACTGTATGAGATACGAGTCTATGGCGACATTGACATATCATCAAGTGACAGCGCCTACGCTGGCTAGATCAAGCTGTCGAATGGATGCGAACACTCCAGCTTTATAAGTTTTCGAAGAGGAAGACTACCCCTCCACTGGAAAGATCAAGTGCAGAAGAACATGGACACATTTGATATATGTATTTACGCCAAAAAGACGAAGAAATCAAATTAATTTTGTTTTATATCATCAGCTTGCAGGAAGACTTTCATATTAACTCAGCCTGCTATTCTTTTCCACACTCTTTCTTCTTATCCAAACTTATCCAGACTTAGCCAAACTATACAACGATATAAGATAAAATGCTACCTTCTCGCTATACGATATATTTAAGACATCTTCTGAAGATTTTACTCAAAGTTTTAACGATTTATTAATTAATGAAAATAATTTTTCGCATATTTTTAGTAAAAATTACAAAATGGCTTCCCATTTAACGGTCGTCGCCGTATGCATTCTTTCACTCTGGCTTGGGTCGACTCATGCACAATCTACGCCGAATTTGGATGATTTGTTAAATAAAATATTCACAACTGAGCCAACAATTCTGCCACAACCCACTAAAACCACTGTACTTCAACCTCACCCTCAGCCACAGCCACAGCCCGATCCTGGCAGCGGAAAATCTTGTGGAGTGAACAAAGAGTGTGTTTCACGTTTCCTCTGTGGCGAAGACGGTAATGTTATCAGAGATGGTAGCACACTTATCGATATTCGTTTCGATGGCGACGATGTATGCACTTACCTGGAAGTTTGCTGTAACACAGATGAAAAGGTATATTATATAAAAAATATTTAATTATAGATTAAAGTCAAAATCTCATTTATTCTTGCAGTTAATCGAGCCTCAAATACCCATTAAACCGGATGAGACCCACGAGGGTTGTGGTTATCGTAATGCGAACGGTGTCGGTTTCAGAATTACCGGCGACAAAGAAGGCGAATCACAGTTCGGTGAATTCCCTTGGATGGTTGCAATCTTACGCGATGAGGTTATCGGCGGCGAAACATTGAATGTTTATGAATGTGGTGGCGCTGTAATCGCACCCAATGTTGTTTTGACTGCCACACATTGTGTTGTGAACGCAGAGGCACGTTTATTAGTAGCCCGTGCTGGTGAGTGGGATACACAAACCAAACAGGAAGTGCTGCCACATCAAGATGCTCGCGTCAAAGAGATCATACGTCATGAGAACTACAATAAGGGCTCACTGTACAATGATGTAGCATTGCTCATTTTGGAAACCCCATATTATTGGGAAGAAAATGTACGTCCCATCTGTTTGCCCGAGCCAGATGCTAATTTCGATTATTCACGTTGCTTCGCTACGGGTTGGGGTAAGGACAAATTTGGCAAAGATGGTACGTATCAATTGATTTTGAAGAAAATCGATTTACCTGCCGTACCACGTGATACTTGCCAAGCTAATCTGCGTAAAACACGTTTGGGTAAATTCTTTAATCTGGATAAGAGTTTCATGTGCGCCGGCGGTGAAAAAGGCAAGGATACTTGCAAAGGTGATGGTGGCTCGCCGTTGGTTTGCCCGGATCCACGTGATCCTAAGCGTTACTATCAAGCCGGTATTGTGGCTTGGGGCATTGGTTGTGGTGAGGAAAATGTTCCCGGTGTCTACGCTAATGTACCATACTTGCGCAATTGGATTAATGAGAAACTCTCCGCTCGGGGAATCGATTTCAAATATTTTACTGCTTAAAGATCTCTTTATTTTTCAAATACTCTTTAAATTTAATAAAAAAAATTATTTGAAATAAAGCCAACAGAGTATTTATTATTGAATTTGGTTTCGGTACTCCATAGAATGGAAAGGCTGGAAACTGAATAGATTCGTAGAGCAAAAAAGAGAGAAGCTTAAGTGCGTGAGTATGACGAATATGACTTGAAAGCCAATAAGGGATATTCTCAGGAATTCTCATTTAAAATTAGATTAGATATTTTCCCTGTAAGATTGAGAAAGAGGAAGTGGACGTTCCGAGTATTTTGAATTTATAATGAGAATATTAAGCACCCAACACTGACGGATTTTTAGACGTTCCTTCAACAGTCAAACTATCAGGGGGTTAGCTTAATCAGTATCGCATAAAAGATCGTGTCAGGCGTGCTGTATGGAAGACTAAATCCCATCTTCTATGAATTGATCGGTCGTAATCAAAGGGGGTATAAACCTGGTAGATCTATCAGTGACCAAAGAAGAAGCAAAATATCAGCACAGCGCATCTCTTCACCGTTTTAGTTATACGTCTGTGTAAACTGATGCTGAGCAACATTAAAACCGGGAAGGACCACTCCATGTCGTTCGATATAAAACGAGATTTCAAACATAGATCCAGGTCTACAACCCTACACGATGAGAGCAACATTTCCGTTCTACTGTATTGCGCTAAAGCAATGATCTATTTTAGGAGATTTCGAGAGAAAGGTTTTACAATCGATTTATGTTGATTCTATTGTAAGAGGCAACTAAAATCGAATAGCTCGCGCAACAGTCGAATCTTAATACCGGAACGACCCTGATTTGTATCCGGCAAAAAGCTGTTATTCCTGCGATATTTCCCGAACCTTAATTTGGGTAAAATTTGTGCGGGCACAGCAACAATACTAGAAAATCCGTTGGATGGTGGAAAAGAAGGAAGGGGAAAAGAACCTCGAATCCCCAAATGCTCTGTTTTTTTTTTTGGACTTCATCTAAGCGATGTGGTTGTAGAAAAAATAGCTTTATAAATAATATTTTGTTGTATTATGTTGAGTAACGAAAACATTTCGGATATTATTTAATTATTATGCGCATTTTTATTGATTGTTTAAAAACTTTTTTTATTGTTATTGAAGACAACAATGACTTAATTGTTTTACTATAAATAATTGGTGTTATTTATGCTAATAATTCTAATTTACACATTTTACAGTACTATTATATTAGTAATAAATTATTATTGTTAATTGCAATCACTTGATTACAATATTGAACAAATTTTATCTTAATTTTTTTTATTAATACAATAACAATGCTTATAGTAATGGCAACATTAATAAAAAGCAATATTACAATTAAAATTAAAATTAAAATTAAAATTAAAATTAAAATTAAAATTAAAATTAAAATTAAAATTAAAATTAAAATTAAAATTAAAATTAAAATTAATATTAAAATTAAAATTAAAATTAAAATTAAAATTAAAATTAAAATTAAAATTAATTGTAATAAAAATTAAAGCGAAGTTAAAATTGATATCAAAACATAATTATATTATAAATTAAAATAAAAGTAAAAATATAAATATAAAAACTTAAAATTAAATTTAAAATAAAAAATACTTTTGAAATTAAATGAATTTTAATGTTAATATAAAAAAAAATTTGGATTTAAAATAATAAATAAGGTAAAATTTTTTATTAAAATTAATGTTAAAATTATAGTTCAATATCACTAAAATTAAATAAATATTAATGTTAATATAAGAACAAGAATTAAACTAAAATTAAAATTAAAAAATATTGATCTTAAAAGTTACTACATTAAAAAGGTGAATAAAAACAAAACTATAATAAAATATACAGTAAAATATTTTTATAACAGATTTCATGAAAAAATTTAACAAAAGTGTAGATAAAATTAAATTTTTAAATGTGTATGGGATTATTTAATGAGCTTTAGCTTTTTTTCTTTTCATTATGTAAGGAAGCTTTCTGATATAATTATTGTGATACATACATTTTATGCTTAAAAACTACTTTTTCTATCGGCGAATAGGTACAGATATATTGCTGAAAATTTCATATTAATTGATATATTCATTCAAACATTTCTTTTTTCAATTTCAATTTCAAATTTATGTTTTTAATAAAATTGAAGGAGTGAGAAATATTATTCAATTAAAAATTCATTTAATTTAATTTTAATAAAATTGAAATTGTTCTTTAAAACGATACCCCACTCTAAGCAGATCTAATTCTATAAAATAAACTGCTTGCTATGATGAGGGAGCCTTCTACAAACTGAGTATATCAGCTAATTTTGCTCTGACTTGTTTGTGCGTAGACCTTAAGATAGTTACTGTTATACACTCATTACTTGGATGCAGAGTCGTTGGGTCTAAACTCACCAGAGCAGGGGCACTTATGCATGCTAATAGATTAGAACCACAAGATGGAGTCCATTCTTTTATCGCTCTTTGCAGTAAACTGATGACTGAGGAAATGGAGGAAGACGGGTCGAATGCAGGGTTTCAAAGTAAGCGGACGATTTAGTGCGAATATAGTGCATAATGTTTGAATGGAAACATATAAGCCACGATGATACTAATATCGTCAGAAGATTTCGTGTACCACAAAGTATAGACTACAGCAAAAACTTCTCTGACTCCACGACAGATTTTGACAGATTTCAAAGTAATTATTTTGAATAGAAAATAATGGGAAAGGATATATATATAAATATATATAAACCGCTGAAGCGATAGGTGTCTGAATGTTTTTCCAGCAAATGAAGAAACCCACTAAGCCGCCTCCGAACGACTGATAATTTTTAATGAGTAGCCTTTATTTCGTGTCATACATACACTTAGAGGAGGGCTTGCCATTCCCTGTCGAGGAGCGACCACAAATATAAATATTAACTTAATTTTTTATTTAAACTAATTTTCTATAATTCCGAACTTGCAATGCTAACCACTCAGCCATCGCGGCCGGAGAGTATAGAACCAGCAAATTGGTTCGTTATGCAGTCTGCTTGAGGGTCACTGTAGCATTATTTGAAAAAAAACTGGCGGTCTTAGGTCCTTAACAAAATTTATACAAATTTTTCCTATAACTAGGCCGTACTAAAAACTCTCGAATTTGTTATAATAAACTCGGAAAAAGAATTTTCGTGATTGCCTAAGCCTTTTCCACTGAATATAGCATAGGTGCCTGGCGATAGTAACATAGATAACTCAATAACAAGAGAAAAAAGAGCGGCAGCAGAGCTTTTATTGCTAAGAAGACAAGATATCTTTACAATTATGGAACTACTTGCATTGCATTTTCTATAAGGTGGACATGAAGAGAGGCTGAGACTGCCACCAAGTGTTTTCTGAGAGCAACTGTAATTCTCACGTTTAGTATAAGGGTAAGCCTTGAAGATATATACCCTTCTTTGAAGTAAAAATCGTATGTAATAGTGTGGAAGTTATTAAAATAGTTAACAATAAGTTTTTAAAAACGGAAAAAAATTATTTGCTTTAAATATAATCAAATGCGATATTTCAAACAAAGAATAAAAAAAAATTGGAAAATTAAAAAAAATTTGGAAAATATTAAAAAAAAATTTATAAAAATATATAATTTTTGAATTATGATTTATAAATACATACATATTTATTTAATTTAAATTACGTTTTTCTTTTTTTTAATTTCAGGTCTAATAAGCGTTTTTGATTAACTAAGCGTTACATATGTAACATGCCTTTTCAACCTCGATAGTTCATCGTTTTTTATGTTTTTTTGTTTTTTTTTTTTTTGTTTTAGTAATGATAAAATCATTATCTTATTTTCTATATCATATACATATATGTACGTACATATGTATTTATGTAAATACGTATTTATGTATGTATGTATGTATATATTTTAATTATTTGCATGTTTTTTTTTTTGATTTCAATACTTAAATCTGTATGCTCATATTTATATGCATGTATGTATGTATGTGTGTAGAACGCGAATTATTTAAATACCAACAAATATTTATATATTATATTTAAATGTATTTACACATGAATAATATAACTACATACTAATAATAACTATATATATATATGTGTATATATATATTTAATACATTTACGAGTACGAATATACCATTACCTACATACATAGTGTTGATTTGACAATAATATTTGTTTATATGTATATACTAACTAGCAAGGCATTGTTTGATTGATTGATTGATATACATACATACATTCAAGTTTCTATATATATATTTTTTTAATAATTTTTTTTTTTTATTAAACTTATTTAAATGTTTTTTTTATTATTTTACACAAACTAACTTAACTATAATACTTACATACACATACTTATATATGTACGTGTATATACTACCGCTCAAATGCAGCTGTCCATACTTTTCTTAAGAATGTTGCATACATACTACATAGCAATATTTTCTTTTATTATTAGGAAAACTAAGAAAAAAGTTTTATTTTTTACGTACACAAAAAAAAAGTTGTTTGAAAAAATGTTTGATATACATATATAATAAATACATATATATTTTTTGTGATAACAACGATTGCCAAACTTTCAGAGTCTGCAAAGCTCAGCGTAACTCAATTAAATTAATAAATTAAATTTAATAAAAAAATCAAATGGCTTGTCTTCATCGACGTACCGTTAAAATAAACTAAAAAAAATACATTTACGATCTTTTCGAAATATTCGTACATTAATATTTTCTTTTTTATTTTTATAACAAAAATAAAAAAGTTAAAATTCCAATTTGATCCTTTTCTTTTATTCAATTTCAGTGTTCCCCCTCGCCACATTTAGTACTAAATTTTGTATTCATTAATTAATTAATTTTTACATAAATTTTTTCTCTTATATTTTTGAACCCTAAGCTCTAATTGCGATTTTCACAACCATTTGACTAGAATAATTATAATTATACACTACACACTTGAACGATTTTATTAGTAAGATTTTGCAAAATTTTTATTTTTTTTTTTTTAGAATCACAACATATGCAAATACAATACACTTTAGCTACACAC